TGTGTGTGTGTACACGTGTGAGAGACAAAGAGGGAAACAGCATTTGTGACTAGAGTGTTAAGCAGCAACAGATTGCCAGATGGAGTTTCAGCCAGTCACAATTCATAATCATTTTAATGGCCCAAAACTGAATGAATGGTGAAGAAGTGGAAACAAAAGCAGCAAAGAATGAAGAAGCTAGCTGTGATTCACACATGGAGGGTACAGAATGAAAATGCTGAAAAAGCTTAATGTACTGTGTGCAGAATTAATCGCAATGAGATTAAAATTTATCTCCAACCATTAAAATCATCAATTTATTAAGTTCTCCAGGCTTCCTGCTTCTCAGACTTTAAACTGTTCCAGATGTTTTAGGTGGTAGTGAGCTGTATTTTTGCAGTGTGCGTTAGTACTTTTTGTGCAACCTTTGCAGCAGGCGGCAAAATCTGGAAAGAGTCAACTCACTATCTGCTTCTCGTTTAGATTTCCCGAGCTGTAGGTGGTGGCAAGGGTGGAAGAGCAAGCCTCGCTGTACCAGGGGACATTGCCGTTCTGTGTGGAGCTGCTGATGGACAGCGTGTAGATGCTGTTGGTGTAGCCGTCACAATTGCAGCTGTCCTTCTCCCGTCCTCCATTACCAGAAGCCCACACAAAGATGGAGCCTAAACCACCGCGTCCCTGGAGAACACACAACATAGATTTAAACAAACAGGAAAATAAAAGACAACCACATGTCCTTTCATCCATGTGTGCCAAAGACTAACAGTATCCACAGAAGAACAAAATCTCATTCAATCTTTAATAGGAAGCCCAATTATAGTGGGGCAAGTTCACTTCAGAGCTCGCTTCAAAAAGAGTCCCATTAAAACCCAACGTACAGGCCTGGGTGGTCACTCACTAAATTACAAAGAGCCAAATATCGCATGACAGCAATTCAATATGGAAAGGCAGTATACGACAACAGCTCATTGTAATAAATCATCCAACCTCTCAGCCTTTGAAGTGCAATAATTTTCATCTAAGAGCGGCTTTATTGTATTGAGTGGCACTGTCTCTCTCTCTCTCTCTGCATTGATCACTTCCAGCCATGCACCACCCACACCACCATCTGACAGTGCTGTCACTGTGGCAATTATCTTAGTAGTCAGTGTCAGCGGTTCCAATCAAGCTTTATGGCACATGCTTTGAATCCTACTGCTCCATAACAAGACTCGGTGTTAGCGGGATGGATGTGTTTATTCATGGCGTGCAGATGTGAGAGGTCGGGGTGTGATCTGTATACTTACTAATCTGTTAACTTGTTCATTTCACATATCTGACACACACCCAGTGTGTCACATGCATTAAAACAAGTCAACAACAGGGCTGATGACATGACGGTATGCATGGTCGCTTAGTATTCAGATCGCGTCGTTAGATGTTGGCAGAAAAGTTTCTGAAATTACTTTTCTGCAAACCCTCTACGTGTATGTGCATATAGATAAGCATGTGTTTGGAAGCTTTTGATTATAAATGCTTGTCATTAAGCAATTTAAAGCTCCGCTAACTTAATGGAATTTAATTGGAATTCTTAAAAACAACCTTGGGAAGGTGGGAAATAAGCAATGAATTCACACTTAAAGAAAGCACAACCTGATTATCTAAAAAAGATGCAAAGATAAAAGACGAACTCAGAGTTTAATAAGTACCCTTCAACTAGCAAAAAAGGGAGGGAGGGTGGGGGGGGAGACATAAACACACAAACAAACATTTGATTTCTGCCAGTGCTGCCGCTTTTCATTTTCTAGGAGTTTTCTTCCTGGGTGGCTTTCAGAGGACATTCCTTTCTATTCGTAATTGTCGGGGTCAAAAAACGCTTTGTTCTTCCCGCTTGTGTCCTCTCATGCTTGAACAGTTCAATTACTGACTGCTGAAAGGAAGCGACACACAGGCAGTAAATAATTTCTGCATAATTTCTTCACACAAACACAAACACACACACCTCTGTAACTCCACGCATAAAAGCTTCTTTGGCGAGTTTGGCCGGTCCGTCGACAGTTTTACCGTCGTCCTCCGGACCCCAACTGGCGCTGTAGACGTCAATGTGCTGGGGATTCAGACTGAGAGACTGTGCCTCCACCATGTCAGTCACCTCACCGTCCAGCATTCGCACACCTGCATGTACGTTCACAAATGCAAATGTCAACTACGTCAAAGACAGCATGGCAAAACATGGATTTATTACTACTTTTACACCATAATTCTTACGATACTGTAAGTCAAAGATGCTAATTCAGTTTCACTGCGTGTCACTCTGGAAAATGAGAATTGCTCCAGGGGCCAGAGAATTTACTGACATGCTTAGGTTAACTGAAAATGTGCGTGTCATTTAGCCTTTACAGATACAGAATCATCCGCATAAGGTACGAAGCTGCATCTGGAAGAGTGAATTTGTACAAAATGAAATGGCTGGTAATGGGCAGGTGCAAGGTTATCGATGATTACACCCTCATGCAATAAAGAGGATGTATGTTTTATCACAAGATGGCTGATCAATATTTCACCAACTCATCTAAACAAGGCATTTTGTAGAGGGTGTAACACTTAAGCCATCATAAGATCACAACTACATCTGCGGTGCAGAAAATTATCTCAAAGCTAAATTGATTTTTTTTAAAAATTGAGAGAGATTTGGTCGCCCATACGGAGATTTAGACAGACTTATTTTCATTACAATCAAATACAAAAAACTAAAGCACAATTGGGAATCTGTCTCACATACATGCGTTATAAATATTTTAGTAGAATTTTTTTAATGACTAGTTTTTAATTTTGTGTCTGTTAACTGAGATGTTTTTGGTGTTTTTATTTTTTGGTTGTTGTTTCGAGTTTTTTTAACCTGTACAGTGTACAGCTTAGTTTTGGTTCACCTTGAATCCAACGATAAGCACTCAAACTACCCTGCGGCCATGACAAGAAAGAAAAATATATGCAATAAAATGTGTATTTTACATACATATATACATACATATGAATGAATGCAATGCTAAATTAGTGCAGTTTTTCAATAAAACTGAACAATGCAAAGTGCTGATGTTGACGGCAATCTTGCAGAAACCTGTTACTGTAGTCTGTAGCTCTTTGCCATAGTGTCGCAGCATGAAATGACAATGTACTCAGCAAGGTGTAGGCACAGAACACTACCGCTGTAGTGTCTAATTTGCATATTTACACATGGGTTTTCGATGCAGCGTGCATGTGTATTTGTAAATCTCCTGCAGTGGTGTGCTGCTTGCTGCTGTTAGTTTTATGTCTACCTGCTGTGATTACGGAGCCCATCACGTAAATCAAACACTATCTCTATTGATTTTCTTTGGTCTTTGAGCTGGTTTGTGGGTGAACTACCTCCTCAAGTGTGAAGCAGACTCCTGTGACTAAAAACTCAGATAAAAAGAGGAAAGGAAACAAATTTTCTTCTTCTTCTGTGTCTACATGAAATTAGTGCAGCTGTGAGAGCGTAAATTTGATCAAAGTTACTCTTATTTCAACACCTAACAGTGGCTAATGGCATCCGTTAAACTAAAGCTTCTTTATAAGGCAAATGATAGCAAGAATATGCTATGCCAGTGACAAAACACACATAATGCAGGATGGCTATATAGAGTAGGTGTTTGTCCAATCCAATTATTTTTTTTCAGACGTTTGTCTCGCAATGAAACTAGTGTTCTTCCACAAGAAAAGTGACAGGGGTGGGGGAATCCAAGGCACTTTAATAACAAACTAATTTGCTGCTCCGATTACAGGTCAGGTTACTTCATGTTGTTATATATGGCTATAAGTAACAAAGCCGCTGCTCTTTGAAGTTCTCCAAAAGCTCCAAACGGTCACTGCTACTAGCGTTTCCATGGCAGCATACATTTTTGTGAGAGGAATGTGTAGGTCGACGAGGAGACTCAAGCATTTCCTCTAGCTGTCCAAAATCCTGAATCACAATCTCCCCAAAATAGAGAGGCTAAGAGCCATACTACAGGTTCAATACAGTTCTAGAGCAGATTCTACATTCCAGCCTCTGAATCTTATTAATTATTTGCATTTCTGTCAATAATCTTTTTAAAGTGTTTAAAAAATAAACGAACAAATAAAATAACTGATTGTAATGTCCAGGTGCCACACGTTGAAGGAAACACAAAGCGGCAGTGAATTATTAGCTCATCCGTCTCACCATCCCCCACAGAGAAACAGGTTAAATAAAAAAATAAAAAAAATAAAAAAAAAATTGGTGACGACCCATTAGGTGATAATTGTGTGCAGCTTTGATTAAATTCTGGCCAACGCTGTTGGAGGAGTTTCAATTCTTGTGAACAAGCCGACACCTCTATATGCCATATGCTGACCAGCCTGAAGGAACGATGAGCTCATCCTGCAGCGGCTGTGGCCTAACAGGGTCAGAATATTGGTGGTTCAATCCCATCCTGCTCTAGTATGCATGCCAAAGTATCTTAGAACATGATACTGAGCCCCAGATGCATCTATCAAAGTGTAATTGTCTGAGTCTATTTACCATAAACCCAAAGAAGTGAAACATTTCAGAGAAGACTTAAAGAGTTTGAGGTGGTGACCCTCCTAATGTTGGATTTTGGTCAAAGCTACTGTATCAGCTTCTACTTTTGTTAGAACTGGGGCTTTTCTAGTTAATTGTGAGGATTATTTGTTTCTTTACCCCAGTTAATCTTAAGAATACTGAAGCCAGTCAATCAATCTAATTTAAGAACAACCATAAAAGTACCTCACAGGAGAGGATTCTGGCTAAACAATGGGGTTCAGTTCTGCAGGTGATAAGATGGCAGGTGATCTTGTGCAGGAAAAAAAGAAAAGAAAAGACAAAAACAAAACAAAAAAGCCCAAAAAAACTTTGCACTGCTGCACCGCTACCTCCCAGCTTATGCTGCTGGAATAATGACAGCATGAACAATAAATGGGTTTCCCTCGCTTGTTTCTGATGTTTGACGAACACATTTCCTTCCATTTCTTTACAGCTATTGAAGAATCTGCACAACTCATGTTACTGTGTTGTATTATGTCAGGCAAAGTTTTTGGAAAATGTCTGTACCCTGTAATAAGAAAAAAGATTGTTATTCTTTTTTGTTGTTTTTCCTTTAGTTATTTGTGAATGGTGGTTTTGGTTGGACTTTACCGATCGAAAAGAGCCTTAAGTGTAGATAAAGAACACAGTAGTCAAACTTTATCACAGCTGGAAGTAGGCAGAAGGATATTGAGATAAGCAGAGACATAGTGAGCTAGAGCGTGCACTTAGATAAAAAAAAAGCTCCTACAGCATGTGCAGTCCTTAAAAAGGACTAAACATCATTAGGTTGCATCCTGGAGTCATCAGACTACCACAACACTGACAAAACAATATGTCTTCTGCACTAAAACAGGCATTGAGCCATCATCATCATCATCAACAACACAGCACACATGTGCACATGTACTGGCAATAGCTCCACAGCAACTTATTTTCAACATCAAATTTGATGTGGCTGGAATTTTAGCATGTGAGAAAAAAAATTAAATTACACTTTTTTTTTAAAGATGAAATAATTTATATGCAAGATGTACAAATCAAATCTGATATTTGTTATAATATCAAAAAGCTACTGAGGTTTCTTTTGAAGGATGGGAAGAGAAACAATAAAACTGCTCTCTCCCTCTAGGCAGAAGCAAAACAACCCATCGGGGTGCAAAATCCTTTTTAGAACAAACAAATTAATATTTCAAAATATTTTGCCACGCTCTCCGCTTTTGTATATTCTCATAAATGAGCAGGCTCCGACTGCTGCTCCGCATCTTCATCATTTAAAGATAAAACTAACAGTGGTACACAGCACACTCCGACCCCTAAGGCCAAACACCAGCATATGATTATTCATCTGTGTGGAGTTGCACCTTGACACGTTAACTGCTAGCTCACTGAAACCGTTTATTAACAAGGAAAACCATTAGGAGTGCAAAATAAGCCGTTAAGAAAAAAAACAAGAGAACAAGATTATCACAGGCATTAGCACCGAGACTAGGGTTTTCATTATTAGGAAACTCGTTAATAGGTTAATTAACCGATCAATCAAACATCTAAAACAGTTTAAAATAATAAAAATATGACTTTTTAAGTGATGGAAATATTTATCTTGTGAGAAAAAGTGAGAAAAGAATCTTTGAGAAGCTGCAACCAGGAAATTGGTTAGTTTTATTTCATAAAAAGAAATAAGAGAAATACTTTAAGAAAATGGTTGTATTCATTTTCTATCAACCGATTTGTTTTGGGTCAATCTGCCACATAAATTTTGCATTAGTAGTTTGCCTTGTAGATGAAAATGGAAAATATATCTGTAAAACAAAGAACAACGAGGCAAACCCGAAACAATGAAGTACAAATATGCTTTGGGATTTATTTCATTGGACTTGCTTTCTTAAATTAAAAAAAGACAACGAGTGAAGATGAAAGCCAGCAACAGCCTGCATGTGCACAGTGATGGACACAGACACGAGGTGATGGCATTTCTTTGGCTAGAGTGACACAGTCAATTTGTGGTTGCATCACTTGAAAACAGCAGGAGCTGAAATTACAGCAGGGTGCCAACGAGACCCTGCCAAACGTGTAGAACAGCAATCTGACTTCTGGCTGTCTGGGACTTGGCTTAAAAAAACAGAAGACAAAAAACCTAAAGCAGGATTTGCCTTTGACCAACTAAAGATTGCAGATTCACATTTATGCTGAATTAGTTAAAACCTTGAGGAGTCCCTTCATTTCTTCTGAGACACCATCAGCACAACAAGGTGCCTGTAAATATTCAGAGTTTGCAATTTATTGCGCTGATGTCTGTCAGCAAAATTACACCAAAAAAAGCTTAATTTCAAGCATCTATGTGGAGAGCTGGACTAATGGGCCAATACAAATCTTAAAAATGTAAGGCAGGGCACTGACCTTGGCTAAGGACTGTCACAAAATGTTAAAGAGATAATTTAACTAATAATTTTATGGGTTCGGGGATAGAACAGTTTGCCTGAAGAGAACACCTAAAGTGAAGTATAAAAGCCATTTTTATTTATGTGTAGTGTGTATACAAACTGTTATGGCTAATGGAGATTCAATAAAAGCTATATGATTGTCTCATTTCAGTGCATTTCAGCACTTCTACTCCATGCAAAACCATTACACTTACAGCACACTGGCAATCCACATAACAACTGTGGTGATGTTCAAAGAGATTCAGTGGCATGCTGTGCCCGGGAAATGGGCTGAAAATAACACAGGCACAGCAGAACAAGTATTTCACCTCATTCTGGCAGTCAGAGGAAAAAAAAGGAAGAAAAAAATAAAACCTGAGATGAAACTGGGTTTTGCCTCTGTGAGATCGAATCAATCATCCACACCATACCTCCGATCTTTGCGTTGTAAGCCACACCAACGCCACAGATCCCATTGCTGGCAACTGCCGCCACTTCTCCTGCGCATCGGGTCCCATGCCTTAACAGAAAGAATGAGAACGTCAGACAAACTGCTTATCCTAATGTTATTTGCCTAATGACAGCATTTTGCTGTATATATAAACACACACACACACACACACGGCAGGTTGTGCACTTGTCTAACAAAAAGTTACTTGTGAAATACTCAACTTCATCTTTCATTGTGGTTAAGCTGCAGACCGAGACAAAACACACCCACACTCTTTGGCCTTGATTGTTTAAACAATCTGAATTCAACCATTAAAGAAAAAAATGTTTGACTGAAAACCACTGTGCATTACCATGTCCTTGTAGAAAAAGTAAACCTTAGGAAGCCTAAAGCCTGAAACGGTCAAGTGAAAGAAAAAAATAAATGGCCATATAACACTAGTGGCAAGAAACTGAGAATCACTTCTGCTGTTATTAAAACGCCTATTTCATCAAGTTTGAACTTCTCTAGCAAGATAAAGCTGTAGGCAGAGATACAAAAAGCAGATACAGAAGGGCTTGGGAACATATTCCAGTCAAGTGCATTCCCATTGCTTGCCAGATGGACATGCACTCTTAATGCCCTCTAAACCATGGCGCAATCCCCATTGGATTGCAGCCATTCCTAGACAGGAATGCTGGATCCATCAGGAAACAACAGATACAGTGGACCTTCACTACTGAAGGAACTATCTAGGCCAGCAGGCTTTCATTGAGGCCCTCTGGGTAACCTGCCAAACCACAAACCAAATAATCAAAACACCCTATCAGCAGTGAACAGCCTTCCCTGATAAAATGGGCTGCATCTGATGTCAGAACACGGACATTTAGTCTGAGGGTAGACTAGG